CCCAGGGGCAGGGAGGGACACAGCACCTGGTGCACAGCAATGCCCAGGGCTTAGGGACAGGCAGGAGAGCTCTGCCAGGGTGCAGCAGCATCCTGCACCTCACCTGCTTTTAAAAAAGGGAGATCTATTATCCCTGCACTCCAAATCATGGAGGAAAACCACTCCAGCAGAGCTGAGTTCATCACAGGAGGTGAGGATGAGTTCCCAGCCTGGCAACTCTGGGAAATCACCGGAGGGGGCCCTGCTTATCTAGACACAACCAGAAGAGCCATGGGGCACAAGTGCCAGCTGCCAGCAAAGCTCCTCTGTCCTGGGCTGTGTGGGAAGGGTTCCCTGACTCAAATCCCAGCTCTCAGTTTCAGAGAGCAGGTATTTGTGGGAAGGAATGAGCAGCCCCTATCCTGACCTCACCCAGCTGGCTGAAAGCCTTGGCCTGTCCCCAGACACTCGTGGCTGAAGCCATCAGATGCACAGGGTTCCAAGCCTTTGCTCCCTGTGCTATTTGAATTGGATCCCCAGCTCTGACTACTGACGTGTGTCAGCCCTGGGGGATTTCTCAATTATGACAAACTCGGTCAGAGTTCATGGCCAAAATATCCTCAGGTGACTCAGCCTCTGTCTCCGGCTCTTTCACCTTGTGACTGGGACCAGCTTGTAGAAGGGGACTGGCAAGGACCAGGGCTCACTGCTTTTTGCTACTCATGCTTGATGAGACAAAATTGAAGGACAGAGACACTTCATCAATCAAAACCATTTTCCCCAAATCAAAGCTCTCATCTTCTCCCCTTGACCTGGGGCACTCTCAGCACCTGTAGCTGTAATACAGCTGCTCAAAGCCCTGCTGATGCCACACAGGGATCCTGTCTTTGCTGGCCTGGCCACAGTGGGCACCTCTCAGCCACCTGCTGTGCCTCCTGCCATGCCCATGTGGTCCCTGGGTTTGGGGTGACCACACTCCAATCTCAGGTCTCATTCATTGCAGCCAACTGCCAAGAGATGGTGAACCTGCTCTGCTGCGTCCAGACCCTCACAGGCCACCTCAAGTGGAAGTGTCAGTGCAGGCCTGAAGGTACGAGTGCTCTGGGCTGTGGTCACAAAGGGACTGCCACTCACTCAGAGGAACAGCAGAGGGTAACAAATGGGTCACGTGGGAGTCACAGGACATCCCAAAACACAGGGAAAGGGACAGCAAACCTCCCACACCCCCCACATCTCAACATTCTGTTCAAATGTAACTTGCCACGGAAAACGCCTCTAAACGCAACAGGCTCATGTTGGCCACACAGGGGCACCCTGAGCTTCCTTCACCACGTTTCTCCCTCCAGACTGCATCGATCTTGTGGACGAAAAGGGCACCCTGATGAACCTGAGCAAAGTGGAAGATCCTGCATCTGAATATGCCAGTGAATACCTGCAGGGAAGGCAGCGCTACATCCTCATCAGAGTTGTCCGTAGGTTCCTTGTCCAGACAGCACAGCTGAGCCTCAGGAAGCCACAGGAAGGGTCTGCTCTGGGGGGAGGTTTGGGAGGGCTCTGTTCAGCAATCACTTGGACACAGCACAGAAGCTCCAAGGAGACAGAAACAAGCTTGGATGAAGATCTAGAGCTGAGCCTTTGTTTGCCCAAGGGCTGCTCCAGGGGAGAAGGCAGAACCTTTTTCCTGGGCAGAACCACATGCCCCAGCTACAAGCCTTCAGTTTACAGCCAAGAGAGACTAATCTATTTCTCCTGTTTTGCTGGCAGGAGAAAAGAACTCTGAAGCCACCTGCTATGAATCCTTGCTAGAGGACCTGGGGAAACACTACCCTGACCTACCAGGTAAGAGCCAGGCACCCACCTCACCTCCACAGAAGAGTCAGAGGTGCAGGCATGACTTCTGTTCCCAGCTCAGTCCTCAAACAGCACAGTGGGACTCTCCTCTTGATGCCCCTGTGCTACTTCAGGGCTCTCATGGCACCAAGGGAGGGGACAAGCAGGGCTGGTGTGCAGGATCCTCTCCTAGTTAAGAGTGACACCCCACACCAGGCAGAGCCTACCCAGCTTGTCCCCCTGACAAAGGGGCTCATCTCCTTGGAACAAGGAGGGAAGGACATCAGGAGAAACTGGGAAACCCTCAGGTGTCTCTCCCAGGCTGTAGTCTCACAGGTTGGTAGCGCCTTGCTCAGCATGTGATGGGCAGCTGACAAACACAACTCTGGAAGGGCTTGGTCACTCCACAGATCGGCTGCAGCAGCTCTCAGGAAAGACCCAGAGGACAGATCAGAGGAAGAAGGGCTCCTTGCAGAGGGTTCAGCCCCACACCAGCACCCGAGCCAGGAACAGGACCACCTTACAGAGCAAGAGGAACTTGGAACCCAAGAACACCCCTAAATGAGGAACTGGTCACACGGGCAGCACAGCCTCCACCAGGGCCCAAACACCTGCCCAGGTGTTTAGTCCTAGCACAGCAGGAGTCCCCTGCTGCTGAGCCCCTCTTCCTGGAATCCCCTGCCCTTCCCAGAGCTTCACACTACCACATCCCAAGCTGCACCCTGACAAACCAGGCACAGGTACCATCCTCCTGCTTCAAGGGGCCCATGTTCCCATGGCACTCCCCAGGGACAAGAACCTCCTTTCCACCCACCTGCACTTGTATCACTGGATGGGTCTGCTTCCCACTGCAGCACTCCAGAGTGGCCCTGCAGGGACTGTCCACAGCCATCACCAGGAAAAGCTGCTCCAGAGACAGCCAGGCCCCTCAGGTGCAGAAGCAGCACTTTGCCAAGCTGGGTCAAAGACAGAGCACACCTGCTGCTTCTCCACCCAGAGCAACACAGCACCAGTCTAAAAGACTTATTTCTTAAAGGGAGTTAAACAACTTTGGAGTGGTTCCTCCCTGCTCACACAGGACAGCTCAGCACATGGAACACTTGAGCTTTTAATCTCTGGCATTTACTTTTCCTCTTGGCTGTCACTAAGAACACAAAACACCCCTAATAAGGCCAGGCACAGCTCAGGACATCTCTACCAAGAACTTAAATCTGTGACACTCAGAAGGAGATCAGCCTCCAGTATCTGCCACCAGCATTTACCATCTAGACCTGGATTTCCTCAGAGAATCTCAGAGGCGCTGAGAATTTGTCCTTTATTCAACAGTCCCAGATCAAAAGGTTAAGACTCACTCTGCCATGAAAAATGCATCAGTTAAGCATCTGAAAGTGTCCTGGTTTCACTGCTGTGCCACTAAACTCCAGCTGAAAACTCAGAGTTCCCTCTTAATGCCAACATAAGGAACAGGGTGTCCTGATGGAGGGCAGTCCATGGGCAGCAATCACGAGGCTGTGTAAGAGGAAAGAGCTCTCAACTCCACCTGATGCCAGTGACCTTGAGAGCATTGCATAACCTACTAAAGCTTTAAAGTCAGATCAGCCAACTGTACCCAAGTCCCACAGCCAGACAGGTGACACTCTCTTAGCTCTGAGGTCAGGACAGGTATTCAGGGAAGAGGATATCTATAGAAAAGTAACTTGTCACTGAAAATACTGTGGGACACTTGTTGGCTTACCTCTCTGCAGCTTCTCCTATGCCTGGAGGGCAGCCAATGTCTGCATCTCCTTCTGCCAAGTCATGCAGGCACAGTCCTTGCTAGGCTGCACCCCCTGCTCACAGGAAATACACACTTGCCTTGTCCTTTGGCTGATAATGTTTTGGTAGCTTAATTTTAGTTTGAGAATTAAATAAAGAACATGCACAAGTGATAGGTCCAAATAAATTCTTTTATTTCTCTGTAATAAATACAGCACTATCTGAATACTAAAGACCCTTCGGTCCAATCATTCCTTTCCTTCCCTACTAGCTCAGAAGTGAATTACCACTAGAATACTCCTGTCTGGTCAGTCTGCTTCCTCCAGCTCATTCCCTGTCTGTCCTTCCACCCCTGTGGATAGCAGGGCTCTACACCATGATCCTCTTCCCTACGAGGGGTTGAATTCTTCACAGGAGAGAAGAAACACCTACAGGGAAGAAACAGAAGTTCAGCATTAGGTACCTGTTCCAGCAGCTGGAGTTAAAAGCTCTCTCGCCCAATGTAGCCAGACCATGACCTAACTACTGACAACAGCTTGTACCAAATGCAGCAGGAATTAGAGAATCAGCCAGGAGAAGCAGCAGGCTTCCAGTGGCAGCAACAGTGGGCCCTCTAAAAGGTACCTACAGCCTTCCCAACCTTCACAGAGACATGGTCAAAATCATTTCTCCTCCCCTTTCCAGCTACTCCTTTCCTGCTTCAGGACATGGAAAAGACACAACTGCTTCCTACCTAAAGCCCTAAAGGACACTATATCCCCAAAAGATCGCTCTGCAACCTTCAAACCCGCTGAGGTGTTCTGCTGGCAGCAGTTCCCTGCTGCAGGGACAGGGCACACTCACCATTGCTGTACTTGCACTGCTTCAGAGCCTCGTTGAAGCCCTCGCACAAGGTCAGGTCTCTCTGGTTAGTAGCGCATTCCAGGAACTGCTTCATCTCATAGTGGCAGGGTCCGTACGGCGACTGCTGCATCACGGGCCGGGGCTCCTGCGGCCACGGGCTCCGTCAGGGCGGCCCGGGGGCAGCGGCGCCTCCTCCAGGCGCGCTCCCGTCCCCCTGAGCGGGTGGCGGCTGCCCGTCCGTCCGTCCGTCCTTCCCTCCCTGCCCGCACGGCCCCGCTCCCCTCTCCCGCCGCCCCACGGCCGCAGCCCCGCCAAGGGCAGCCCAAGGGCACAGCCCGGCTCCGCTCGCACCTGGGCGGGCGCCGCCGCCTTGGCCGGCTCGGAGGAGCCGCCGCTGAAGACGCCGGTGATGGCGCTGCCCACGACGTGTCCCACGGCGGAACCCACGGCCACGCCGGCCGCCGTGCTCGCCATCTGCGCCATCAGCCCGGGCTGCGCCGGCTGCGCCGCGGGCGCCGGGGCCGCTGGGGCCGGGCTGCGGAGAGAAGGGAGTCAGGGGGGGCGGCTCAGGGCGGCGTGCCCCGGTGCCCACCGAGCCGAGTGCCGGTACCTGGCGTGCGCGGGCGGCGCCGCGGGCCGGGACACGCTCCTGCTGCCGCGCGCCATGGCTGTGAGGGCCGCCCCCCCCGCGCGCCGCCTTTAGCCGGCACGCGCCGCCACGTGACCCAGCGCGCGCGTGCAAACGCCAGGCCCCGCCCCCTGGGGGAGGCGCGGCTCCCGTGGGGCGCATGCGCACAGAGCGCAGGTGGGGGACCCGCCACCGGCCGCCCGCCCCCGGCAGAGGGCGCGAGAGGCCCGTGCGGCCACCGGAGCGGGAATCGATCACGGGACCGATCACCGGGACACCGGGACACCGGGACACCGGGACTCACAGACACCGAGACACCGGGACACCGGGACACCGGGACTCACAGACACCGGGACACCGGGACACCGAGACACCGGGACACCGGGACTCACAGACACCGGGACACCGGGACACCGAGACACCGGGACTCACAGACACCGGGACTCACAGACACCGGGACACCGGGACTCACAGACACCGGGACACCGAGACACCGGGACACCGGGACTCACAGACACCGGGACTCACAGACACCGGGACACCGAGAGTCACAGACCCCGGGACACCGAGAGTCACAGACCCCGGGACACCGAGGCTCACAGTGAGCGGGGGCAGGCGTTCCCCCTGCACTGCCGAGGCCACAGTAACCCGTGTCCCCGGTAGCTGTCCTGTCCCCAGGGCTCCTGAGCACCCCAGGCGGTGACTGCAGCGCTGGCCCGGCTGGCCCGTGCCGCGGCCGGACAGCCCTTTCGGTGAAGAAGTTTTCTCTAAAGTCCAATCCAGCATTCCCTGGCACAGCTTGAGGCCGTTTCCTTTCGTGCTGGCCCTTGGCAGCTGCGGGAGCAGAGCGGTCCCGCTGTGGAGCGCAGGGCACGGCAGCTCCCGGGGACAGAGCGGCTGAGGGGGCCGAGCTGGGAAGGGCCGGCTGTGGGGCAGGCCGGGAGAGCGGGAAGGGACCGCGGCCTCTATCGCATGGCAGGCGGGGTGGAGGGGAGAGAGGTGGATAATGAGGGGCTGGCAGAGGGAAGAGCAGCACTCCGCAGCTGGGGCAGGCAGACGAGGCTGCCAGGGAGGAGGGAACAGAGGAATGATGTGGTCTAAGCCATCGACCAGCACAACAATTTTTGCAGCAGACCTCTGGATACAAACCAGGAGATCAAGGAATGCTGTGGAAGGTGTGGACATTGTTGGGCAGTAGGAATCCATGAAAAGATGATGATGAACCCTCAAATCATGAAGAGACAGGCTGGACGACGCCAGTTTTACCTCCAAACCAATTTCCTGACAATCATCTCTTCCCTGGCAGCCCTGCTCGTCTCCGGGGCCTCTGTGGGTCCATGTCTCCTCAGTGTCTCCCTGGAATTGGCCTTGTTGCCACCTCCATCTCTGGACGTTCCTTATGCCCAATGAAGAGAAATTTCCAAAACTGAGAAGGGTCAAGAAGATGTACAGGAAAAAAAAAAAAATCCCAGCTATATCATGTCTCTAGGGCTGCGTTTGTACATTCAGCACGTTATGAAAAGCAGCTCTTTGGGCTGGTTCATTGACTGGCAGGAATTAGAGAGCTAAGTCACTGCAGGGCTGGCAATTAGCTGCTGCACAAGTGTTTTTGTAGAGTCAAATTTCCAGCGAGGGGAAGAGAAAAGCGTTTGTAAAGCAAGCCACCCCTCGGTGCAGGAGCCGGGCAGGGGGAGCTGCAGCTCCTGCACTCCTGAGCAAAGAGAAGAATTGTTCCTCAAACAAACACTGGTGAGGGGCAACACTCCCAAATCCTTCCTCCCGCAGCGCCGGGGAGTTCTCCTGCCCTGGGAGCTGTGCAGTGCTGCTTTCAGCTGGAGCAGCAGCATTTTACATCCAGCCTTTCCCTGCCTGTCTTTTCCCACTGACTGGCAGAGCAGCTGGAAGAGCAGAGGAATGTCACTGGAAAGCCCCTGCCTCAGCAGCACCTGCACTTCTTCCTTTCCCCAGGTGTGTGTCCTGGAGAAGTGTGGCTCCCTTCCTTGAAGGAAAGAAGTGTGGCCCTGTCCAACGAGCCATGAGAGCAAACAGAGGTATTAGAGACAGGAGAGAGAAATGGCAGGAGGTGACACGAGGGTGACCTCGGGGAGCTGTGAGGAAACTCAGCTCTGCCAGCTCGAGCCATCAGGGTGTGGGGCTGAGGCTCCTCTCCCTGCCTGGCTGTTCCTGGCCGTAGGAAGAGGCTCAGCATGTGCTGGAGGGAGGAGAGGACAGACTTGCAGGGGGCACAGGGAATGCCAGAGCTCCAGCCGTAAGAAATCAAGATTCATTAGTTCCACTAGGCGCAGAACAACTTGCTGGAGGAGCCCGGGCTTCAAGCTGAGCGCATCCCTCAGCTGCGTCTGGGGACCCTTTCATTTGGTTAATTAGACACAAAGTTTTTCTGTGCAGTGGGAGGCCGAGTATGTGCTGAGGAGCATTTACTAATGAGATAATTTATTGTGGCTGTCTGGGAAGCTGAGTGTACACAGCTCCTCCCGTGCACACACCGCCCACCCCAAACCCTCCGCTCCCAGCTGGAGAGGCCTCGGCACCGGAGGTGGAATTACGGTGTCAGGTCTCCCTGTGAGAGCCCTGCCCAGGAGCCATCCTCCCACAGGGGGCTTCTGCAGGAGGGCCTCACCTACATCTGAATATCCTTGCAACAATTTTCACTCTTTGACTGGCCAAACTTCCTAATTCCGCTATTTTTCACACTAAATTTGATCTGTGATTCAATGAAGTGACTTCATTTTGCCTCTCTCTTTTCCCCTGCTCCAGGTCTCTCCTTACACAGTTCAAGTGTTAGGGCTTGCCTACACTTGAAGGTTGACTCTGGCTTTAGGGACATATAAATCTGAAAAGATAAGAACTAATTCTTGAATAGCTCTGGGGGGATTTACTCAAAATCAGTAATTTCTGAATAACTTGGTGCCCTGGCTGGCCAGTTCATCCTCCAGGTAAGGGCTGATTTCAGTCCCCAAGTTCACACAGAGCACTCAGGTCAGAAGGAAATGTGCAAGAACTACCTTTTTATCCCATACAGTTTTTAGGAAGCAGAGTTGCAGCCAACTAAATAATAATAATAATAGTAGTAGTAGTAGTAGTAATAGAAGCAGGCAAGTTGCTACCACTTAACAGAATTCAAAGGCAGGTCTGTGTATTTTCAACTTTCTCTCCATTGCTCTAAAAGGAACTTACAACCTCCCCCTCCAGGGTCTGCCTCGCTGAAATCCTCACGCTGTCACAGCTGAAATGTGGCTACAAAGAGCTGCAGGAATTCCCCAAGGTTGTTTCACAGGTAAGGAATGCAACACCGGCCTCCCGGCGTCTCCTGCCTGTCTGCCCCTGCCGCGGGCACAGCGCTGGCCGCGCCTGTGGCTGCACTCGCAGGGCTCTGCTCGGGGGACAGTGACACCCCCGGCTCCTGCAGAAGCCACCCCTGGCTGCGGGCACGTCCTGCCCGGTCCCCGCCGGGATCGGTGCACACCGGGCGTGCAGCCGGAGCCTC